CAAGCCAAGTTATTTAGTTTCCATCTTGCACAATAATATCTAGCCTAATTAGGATACTTAATATTTTATTGCTTTCTTAGAGTTATAATTATATTAGGATTAGATCTATTTGGTGCCTATATAAAGGACCATCCACCATGTTATTTTTCATCATCCAAGAAATCAATAGAAATCTAGAACTTTGTTCTTCCAACTTTGCTTTAGTCTTTTCACCAGAATACTATTGCAATTTTATCGTTTCAATAGGTGCGGTTGTGGCTAGAGAAACACTATCGGCGATTCAAGGCGCGGGTTCGCGGCTTATCGGCAGTCGAAACACAAGATTTTCATCAAGGGGATGCGCGGTATAGACGCCGCGTGAGGTCAGTACCCGCAACATGTAGCTGTTGGCGATGCGCGTGCGCATGCCAACACCCAGTCGTGCACGCCAGCATGCGGTAACGCACGCGAGTGTGCAGCATAGTGCATCAGTGGCCTCGACAGCGCCTACGCAGCTAGCCGAGTAGCCAGCACCGTGGGTATCGCAAGACAGCGCCCGCATGGTGCCAGTCATTCCAGTTAACGCCTGTGTGCGTAAATTATGTATCCAGCTGCACGTCGTGGTGTGCGGTAACACCCGACAGTGCCAAGTCAGGTGGCAGCCGATGCACATAGTATTCGGCAGCACCCCAGGTCATGCCCCATTCGTGTCCGCCATGGCCAGGTGCACCTAGCACCCTCGCCGTGACCAGGGCGGGCCCTGCAACGGCCGTGCCCGCACCAGTCCCGTCAGCAACCGTGCCCGCAGCCATAGCAAGGCCGTGGGCCAAGTCAGCAGCTAACCGACCGGACCGCACAGACCGGCGGTTCGGCCAGACCGGTTCAGACCAGTTTGGACCGGTTTGAACCAAATTTTATATTTAAGTCCCGGTTCATGATTTCAGTCCCATTTTCAGTCAATTTCCGGGTCCGGTTCAGTTCAGTAAATTCATGTCAGTTCAATTTCCGATTTTAGCCGGTTCTGGTTATACCGGTTAAATCCAGATATC